TGTGTGTGTGTGTGTGTGTGTGTGTGTGTGTGTGTGTGTGTGTGTGTGTGTGTGTACGGAGCTACTCAATGTCATAATGAGCTCACCCAGGGGATCGTTGACCTTTGCACTTCTTTAGGCTGCAAGTGATGAAGTGGTAGGTTGGCCACAATCTTGTCAGCTTAAGTAAAATGAGGTCATGCCTTAAGTATAAATCTGCTCCTCTGGGAGACATTTCGTTACATCTATGTTGCTGGGTTTTATTTTACTTGAGATTAGGTTCCCAAGAAAGCTATTTGCAACAGCTGAAATTGTACAAAAATCCTTATTCTGTACGTGCCGTGAATATTTGTGGATTACAAGTATACTAAGAAGACAGCCTCCTATTAGCTTGAACAAATTGTGCCGTGTACATCCAGTTTCTTGCTGTCTTTCTACAAATAAGAACTTTAATTCAATAAAAGGTTTTCTCTAGTTTTTAATTAAGGTGCATACAGTTGATAAGGGTCATAGACTCCATTTATTACTCATTCACCGACTGTGTGCATTTGAACTGACGACTGCAGCCTACAGGATGAGCATGAGTTATTCAAGGTATGCATTTTGCCGTATAATGTTAATAATAAAAATACATTTTTACTGATATTGCATCCCTAAGAAAATTGTTGGATCGCGGAATAAAATTCTGTGGGACAATGCCCTGGAGTCTGAGGTTCAATTCCGGGAGGGGGCGCTCTTGTGTTCAAAACAAAGCGGTAACTGGTAATAACTAAAATGAAAGCTTGAAGGAAAGAAAACACTTTGCAAGCATAAGTTTATTTTACAGGATTTATATGACATAATTCGTACTAAAAAGGGGTAAAATTCTTACTAAAACCAAACATAAGACAATTAAATCTCGGACTGAGTCTCTTTTTGCTGGCTGGAACGTATCTTTAGGGTAAACGCCCTCTCCTAATTAACGACCAATAACGGCAAAAAAAATTGTTTGCACCATTTCGGACCAATTACCTTCTTATTTATAGTAATACTAATATAGGTAGGAAAAAGAAAGCAAAGTGCGCTTTTCATGTTATAGGCCGTGACTAATATGTCAAATTTAAGGTTTTCAGGGATTGGAGAATTTAATTTCTCTTCCACTCTCTTCCTCTGGCGTCCTTTAAACTTAAAAAATTTATCCTCATTATTATAACCTTTACGATTTAACGATAGGGGATCAAGGGCTGGTGAAGGACCTCATTTAAAAGATGAGAAACACCCAAGCGTCTCGATTTAACAACTTCCCAAGATTGCCACTGCAAGGTTGTTGTGACTAATAAGATAGAGAACGCAGCCCCTAGTTTGCCATTATGCACATTAATCTGTTCCGAATCCAAGCATAATGCTTTTATGCTAGAAAATTTCAGTTAGATTCTGTTATAACGCCAGCTGAAAGCTGAACTGGGCCATCAGCCTATTTTTTTCTTTTTTCTTTCTTTCATTTCCTCTCCCTGTCTCTGTCTGTCTGTGTGTCTGTGTGTCTGTCTGTGTGTCTGTCTGTCTGTCTGTCTGTCTATCTGTCTGTCTGTCTGTCTGTCAGTCTGTCTGTCTGTCTCTCTCGACAAACAGACTGACTCACAGACAGACACTCAGACAAACACAGTCAGGCACACAAACAGACAAATAGACAGACACAGACAGACAGGCTGGTACACACAGAGAGAGGCAGATTGATTTTTTAAAAATAGGTGAAGGGACAGACAAGAAGAGAGAGGCGACAGAGAGAGAGAAAGAGAGAGAGAGAGAGAGAGAGAGAGAGAGAGAGACGAAAAGAGTGAGAGTGCTTGTTAGTGTGTGTGTGTGTGTGTGTGTGTGTATGTGTGTGTGTGTATGTGCGTGTATGTGTGTGTGTGCATGTGTCTGTGTGTGTGTGTCTGTGTATGTGTGTGTGTATGAGTGCAGGTGTGTGAGACAGAGACAGGCAGAGAGAAAGAGAGTAGATAGATAGATAGATAGATAGATAGATAGATAGATAGATAGATAGATAGATAGATAGATAGATAGA